TCATAGGGAACAAGTCCTATAGGCCCTGCACTACAAATACACAACTAAAGGTTAAACAAGTAAATTTGGCACAAATACACTTGAAAAATACACAAAAATAACTTTTTTTTTTCTTTTCAAATAGACAAACACTTACACAATGAACTACAAGACGATTTTCCAAATCTAAGTCTTATAGGTTGAACTAAAATTCTCCTCAAGTTCTTTACCATCATTCCCCAACAACAACACCAAAAAACATGATCCACCCCAACTATTATCATAATATTGTAAGATCCTTGAAACAACACCAGAAACTTGATTTGTTCCATAGAAATTTGATTAAGTTCTTAAAATTAGATGTTCTTACACACTGGAGTTTCTCACGTAAGTATACATTTCGTTAAAGTGCAATTTCATATAAGGGAGATTAATCATGCTTTAGGACACATCAACTTGTCAGTAAAATGGTAGAAGATTTTAGAAATATTCATTATGGCTACGACTTTGGAATGATTAATGAAGAAAGTAGAGCCACATTAGATTTTGTTATTACTTATACTTTATTCAAGAAAAGAGATGAGCAAATTATAACACATAAGACAGATCTGATAAAACTAAAACTGATTATTTTTTTACAAGAAGAAGAGATCATCAAGAATGTATAGATTGTAAGTTCATTCCATGTGAGGATTTAAGTACTCAACATCAATTATTAGTTCTAGATTTTAATATAAAGAGTTGTAAAATAAAAAATACTAGGAATCATTGTTATATAATTAATGGGGACACCTAAAAGACAAAAATCAAATTATTTTTATGAGTAAACTTCAAGATTTTAAGATTTAGGATTTTCATGAAGAAGATAATTCTATGTAGGATAAAGTAACAAACACCATTAAACAAGTAGTAAAAGATGTACTTCAAGAATTAAAAGAAAAAATGTTTATAAATAAAAATAGTTGGTAGTAGAGTTCTCTTCACATAAATTGAATCTAAAACATCTACTCTCCTAACAGGGTCATCAGATGGTCAATGTTAAATGTGACAGGCCATAAAACACTCCAAAAATTAGATCTTCGCATAAAACAATCTAAAAATTGTAAGCTATGATTACAAAATTATGCTTCAGTTTTTTTTTTATTTTAAATATGAAATACTATAATGTAAATTCTAAACAATTACATTATTGGAAGCTTGGCGTACCACAAAAAATCCTACCTAAGGCAATTAGAGATAGCAAATCCCCATACTATATCCAAACATTGAATCATAACTATAAATTTGGGGTAAATGATATCTAGCTTATCATTCATACTATAACCGATCCCCTGATGACCAGCAAGGTAAATAATCTTAAAACTAAACTCTAGAATATAACACATTATTTTCGAATCATAGCTTATAGTCTGTTAATTGATCTGACACCACGAGAATAAACAAACATGTACCTCAGGCAATAGCAAGAAGATACAACGGATTGGCGCATGCATTGTATTTCGGGGGATCCCTTGTAGAAGCTCTCCCTTAGTCCTAGCCTGGAGGTACAGAAACTCCGTCTGCTGGTATCATAGGAGAAGATTAGGCGACCGAGAGATTTGAGAGATTGAGGTTACGCAGCTGTAGACTACTCTGACATGATACTGGAGATCTTCCTCAGCTTCTTCTGCAGATCTATTCGCAGATCAATTTGGATCGGAGAAGAAAGACGGACGAGCGTGAAATATAGCGATACTCGAATCCAATAAAGGCAGACTGGACCGATAGTCTCCTGACGGTGATCTCGACGTCTGTCTCGTCGCTGCCCATGGAAATTCTGGGTGCAGATATTTGTTATACGAAATAAAGGAAAAGTGAAATTAAGTTGAAATTGAAGAAATTTGATAGCTGTTGATTTTATGTAAGAAAATATATTCAAAGGCTTACTTTTATCATTCATTCTGATAGCTGTTGAAGGTGGCTGCGTGAGGAGACTCCTCAGCCGGTTATAGTCAATGCGAAGCCTCTGTGCCACTCCACCAGTCATCTCAGCTATTGCTCGAGCCTCCCTGGATCTTTTCGTTTACCGGCAGCTTTCTCTAAAGGCTGCTCTTTTATGCTTTACGGGAATAATTATGTTTTTCAGCTCTTCCTTCTCTACACGTGCATTATCAGTAAAAATAAGGGGTCTAGTGTATTTATAATATATAGCAGTTTTACAAAAATATTCATTATATGTTTTCAGGCTTTCTAGTTTCTGTTTTAAGTCTAGATTTTCTATCACTAATAAGTTGTAGCCTCTGATTACAACAAATTTCAGATTATTGTTTTATGCTCATATAAGCTGAATTTATAGCCAAAATATCTCCTCTTCTCTCCAGCATAAAAATCTCTTCTTTTATGAATTCATGCACCAATATTATTGTTTCATGCTCATATAAGCAGAACTATGGATCATTCTATGCATCATGGAACTCCAATGTGAGTGTCAACTCTGCAAAATCTCTATAGAGTATTTGTTCAATATGTAGCCATGATTATGGAGCATATCAGCATAGATGAATTCAAATCATTTCAAGCTGTAGCTTTCAGGTTTTCCATCATCGGTGCAGCTATCTCTGTCAGGCATGGAGAGAGCCTGAGCAGCACTGTGAGGCATTCTGCTGAGAGGTGGAGCAATGATCCTGAGAAAACCACAAGCCTCCCACCATGACTACTGGTTTGTTCACTTGAGTTGCAGAAGAAACCCATACCACCCAATCCTTATGTATTTACATATCTAACACATAAATCTTAATTTTTGCACACATGCCACCTTAAGTATGCATGAAAATGTGTATTTCACTTTTTAAATGTCAAAATGGTGGTATTTTTTATGTGATAAAAAAAAATTGGGCGGTATTGATGTAAAAAGCAGTTTAGGTGTTAGATATGTAAATACAAAAGAATTGGGTGGTATGCATGTAAATGCCCCTAAAGTTTGCCCATCTTTATTCTCTGCTGTTCCTCTTATAAGTCATATATATTGCAGTTTTTAATGGTGTCTATCAGGATACTTTGAAAGGAGTAGTCCCAGTTACCAAACCTTATGTGAAAGATCTGTAAGTCATTATAGTGCTATCAGTTTTCTTAAAACATAATATAATCAATATAATGATGCAACAAATAGCTACTTTTTCAACTTCAGCACAGTTCTAAGTTCATTTTGCAGGGGTTTCAGAGATGTTGAGCACAGTGGGAGCTACGCTGAACTGCTTTCTGGCCTCAGACCTATTTGGGACACAAAAATCCAGTGATGACAGGTGCCAAATTTTTTACAAGGATGTATGTCCAAAGGTTTAATCTGGAAGATCTTATTCTTTATTTATATATGTAGACATTAGATGTCATAATGCATGAAGTTAGTACGAATTGTGTCTTCATGTTGTTATTATCGGAGAATTAAGTAAGCTCTAATTCAAATCATTGAGAACAAATGAAATAGAGCAAAGATAAAAACACAAACACATCAAGAAATTATGCACTGCTGCTACAGATTTCAGCATGACTTTGATTGTTATATGTAAGTCCAGACAGTTTTGATTTGTTACATACTTTCATAAGCATATGTCTCGTCTATTTTGATGGTAGTTAAATCTACATAAAAGCCATGGATGATTATACCATTCAGTTGCAGAAAGATCCTAAGCCCATGTCAAACGACAATGTCATTTGAAGAAGTACACATAAATAAAACTACTTAATGATCTAATAAGGTTTTCTTATTTCAAAATGGATGTTGTATCTAACAATAATATTGCTCAATGAGATAGAAAGTTAAAATGAGTATCTTAAGAAAAGCAGTTCAAATGGGCAAATCCAGGTTGAATACATTACTAATATGATGAAAAATATCTCCCAGGCTCTGAGAAGAAGACAACAAAAGAGTAGAATGAGCAAATTTCTTCTTTATATTTTCCTATACAGATGAGGAGGTTTGATTTACCTGTATTGTTGTTCTTAAGGCGAAATTATATACTTCATGAGCTGGTATACTGATTTAAGCTTGCTCCCAAGTGTGACATTATATCATCAGAGGTAGAGTGTGGTGCATCCAAAGTGGGGATAAGAGAAGTGTTGAGTTTGAGAGATCACCCCATAGCCTTTTTCACTGAGAAGTTGAAAGAATCCGGCAATAAATATTTGACATACGACAAGAAGTTTAATGTTATTATGAGAGCTCTTGAGCACTGGTGTCGCTACCTACTGACGAGCGAATTCATGTTATTCATGAACCATGAAGCCTTGAAATTCTTGAACAACCAGAGTAAATTGATGGACCGATACTCATCTTAAGTAGAGTTCTTAGCATCATTCCAGTTCATGTTTAAACACAAGGCGGTGAGTCAAATGAGGCGTCATCACTTGTTGATAGTGCGATGTAGGCTCGAGTCATAGGATTTGAGGTATTAAAGGAGTCGTACCAGACAAACAAGGATTTCGAAAAAATTTAAGAGCAATTTCAAGAAAAGTCTATCGTGCAGTACTACAGAGCTAATAGTTACTTCTACCAGAGAGTTGAACAGCCCTAGATGTTCGCTGAGGGAGTTCATTGTTCAGAAAAGCCACAGTGGAGGGCTTTCAAGGCATTTTGGCAGGAGACAAGACTCTTGCATTCATGAGAAAATACTTTATTGGACGTTAAAATTTTCGAAAGTTCATTTATTTTTGATACACTACCAACAATTTTTTATCATTCATCATGAATCTCGAGGCATGATACGAATCTCGATGCAACATATTGAGCAAAAAAACATTCAAACTTCAATTAAGAGTCATGCAAAACTCCGATTTCAGTAAACTTAAAGTCAATTTGACTAGCTCAATGAGATAAACCTAATAATATAAAAACTAGTCCAATCCGAATCAGATCAGCCCAGATCAAATCATAAAACCACTCTTGGAGGATGTTTGGATACATTTTGAAAGGTCAAACGGATGTCGAATCTAGCGAGTTCATAATCGAATCGAGCATCTCAACAAGATGAATCCAACGAGCCAATGATTGCTCAATTCCGACATCGTTAAGGCATTCAAATGTCTTTCAAACGCCTTCTAATAAGGGAAGCTCTCCGGACCGTTCGATCAAAATGATTCATATTCTTGCATTAATTACACCCAGAACACTATAAATAGAGCCTCACCCCTCACATGAAAGAGGAGGTTGGAGAGAGAACTTGAGGCTTTGAGAAGAAGCTCAAGTCCAACATCATCCCTGCCATCGTTTCACCGACCGTCGACGACTACCACCGACCTCCGCCGACCAACATCGACTGTCATCGACCACCACTGATCACCGTCGATTACTGTCGACCGCCGCCGACCACCGTCTGTGGGACAAGAGATTTTTTTAATCATCAATCAATAATGGATTTTTGCAACTGGGCCAGTCCCCGTGGTTTTTCCCTTCCCGGGTTTTTCACAAAAAAATTTCTAAAGTCGTCTTTGTTTGTTTCTCTTTCATTTGTGATGTGTTGAATTCTCGTACAACGCTAAGACGATAATCTGTTACTTTACCACCATGAATTTCTAGCACACATCAGTTTGGAGTCGTCTGTGGGAAGTTATCAATCCCACCTCTAAAGTACTTGCTCGGTTTACTACATGACCACCAGGCATAATATTAAAGAAACGGAGCCCCTCACTCCAACACCCATCGATCCAAAGAACATTCATGAAGTCAAGGGCACATGTTTCTTCATGTTCCCGCCCTGGAGGACGTCATCCTGCCAATAGAGGGATTCAGGTCCTTTTATAGAAGAACAAATATGTAGAATGGAGGAGTCCCAACTAAAGATACTACAACTCCTACGTGGGAACCAACATCCGTTATCCACACCAATGAAAAGAATTCATTTACCATTAAATCTGCGACCTACGACAAACATATTGCTTGGAAGAACTCGTACGGGCTTGCCTCCCCAAGAGGGAACACTTCCCCTGCTAGGTCGTGATGCTGAACTCCTGGACACTGCAAGTTCCATTCATCCATCTCACCTAACGCCGCCACGTCTTGTCGCCATTCCAAATGATGTCATTAGCAATGAACTACGACACCCTGTTCACGAAGAGTTCCCTTTAGAGAAAAAGGATCGCTTCCACACTCACTGTAACATCCATGAATCTTCTCCCTTAGCATATGCAGTCCTCCAACACCCCATCCTATTAGGCTTCAAGCTTCCGAACATCAACACGTATGAAGGGATAACTAACCCCTATGAACATATTGATCATTATCAAACTATCATGCACATTTAACGTGCCTTTGATGCACATATGTGTCAGGTTTTCTTGATTTCTCTTAAATGACAAGCTCGAACCTTGTTCTACTCTCTATCAGGGGGCACTGTAATCACCTTTAACGAGCTTGTCAGACTGTTTGTAGCAAACTAACAGATTGTTAAGGATTCATCTCATCTCTCAGAAATTTGTCAGAGCAAAGGAGAATCAATGAAGGACTACTTCCGTAGGTTTTCTACTGAAGCCCGACAGATTCTGGGAGTAGATCCGGAGTTACTAAGAGAGTCTTCCTTGAGGGGCTATGCCCATGACCCTTCTACTCATCATTGATGCAGGAGACAGTTCATTCTTATGCTGACATTGTCACCATGTTGAGACACAAGTCTCTGCAGATGAGACCATCATTGCTCACAAGGAACAATTTTAGTGATTGGGGGGCAAGCACAAGAATAACGTTGGGGATACCAATCAAATCTCATAGCAAAAAAGATTAGACCACAAGGGAATCATGAGCAACAATCAGAAAAAGAATACACACCACTCAACATGTCACGTGTTAAAATCTTAATAGTCATAAATATGAAGAGACTGTCAAGTGGAAAAAACCGTTAAGAAATCCAGATGGTGGAGACCAATATGAATATTGTCATTTTCACCATGCAAAAGAACATTCAAGACATTCAATAGAAAGATGTTTTTAATTAAATGAAAAAATTGAACATTGGATACGCTAAGGTCACCTGGGTCGCTACTTACAAGAACAATGTGAGGGGTACCAGAAGAGAATTATTGGAGTTATCGAATAATAAATATAACTCCAAATCATCTTATCTGAGTAAAAGACTGGCTTATAAACTCTGAATTTTATTTTAACAAAATTTTCATGTTGTTTTAAAATGTTGTTTCATTGAAATTTTTTTTTTCTCATGAAAGATTTTTATGTAGAAATTTCTCTTGAGGAAAAGAGGTACCATGCCCCTGGAAGTCGAGCCCAAGAGGTAAGAATTGACGGAAAGATACGGTACTTCAGAATGTCAAGCCCAAGAGACAAAACTCGATGGGAAGCTATCATGCCCCTGGAAGTTGAGCCCAAGAGGCATGATTTGATGGGAAGATATGGTACTTCTGAAAGTCAATCTTGAGAGGCAAGATTTGATGAGAAGCTACCATACCCCTAGAAGTTGAGCCCAAGAGGCAAGGCTTGACGGGAACATACGGTACTCCTAAAAGTCTAGCCCAAGAGGCAAGACTCAATGAGAAGCTACCATGCCCCTGGAAGACAAGCCCAAGAGGCAAGTCTCGATGAGAAGCTATTAATGAACATGGTCCTCACTAGAAAGACTCCATGAGAGCAAGTGGTTGACAGGGTCTCCACTTAAAGACCTCAGAAAGCTACAAGCATCAAAAGACACATGCACACTTCTCGGCTTTTTTTTTTTTGAAAATAAGATTTTTATAATTTATATTTTAATATAATATATATTGTAATTTTAATTTTGTGAAAATGGTATTTTTATTATTTTTGGAAAATGATGTGACGAAATAGACCTCATATATTTATTAATTTAAATAACTGAGCACAATACCATAAATGATATATCATCTCGAAAGATGAATGTATCACTTATTGGTAGGCTTAACTATCTAAATTTAAAAATTTATGACTCTATTTTTGTCTGCAAAATTTATGCGAATTTATAGCCGACAAGTTCCCCTACCTAATACAAAGATTTGAGAGGGTTTAGATTAATCTGGGTTCTTAATTCTCTATAGAGGCAAGCCTCTATAGTTAATTACATCTTAATTATAACTTAGGCAACTGAAGTCACTTGAGGAAACTCTCGATTAAAATAAGGGTGTTTGTCTTTAAGAATTCAACGTTTATGTTTTCACGATTGCTTATAGGAAAAGTCAAGTGGGATAGGTTCAAGTAGGAGCAGTTATTTTTAGAATCCAAATGAGTGAAAAAGTATGAGATATCGAAGATACTGAAGAAACTTCAGTGGCACCTCAAACTAATATCTTAAACTAACCTATGATTTGGTTTTACATCTTTGAAAGGGAAATTATGTGATATTTTAGTCCTATAAATTATTTAGATATTCGGGATTTGTATCTACATTCCATATGTAAATGGCCTGAGGAAATGTGAGGATTTATGTCGTACCAAACGACGATCTCAGAATCCTAAAAAGTTTAGGACTTATATCGTACGATGTAAAAATTGTAGAAAGTTCTAAAAGATAATGTGAGGATTTACGTCGTGCCAGACGAAAGACCTCAGCGTCCTGTAGGTATGTTATTTAAATCTATCAAAATTCTGTTGAAGCTCATCTTTCCACTATCTGTTGAAGTCTCGACCGTTGTCCGGAGATGAATCGTCAACCGACCACGTCGTCATCTTGTTCTGAGAAGAGAAGAAAGAGAAGAGAGAAAGCTACACCTCAAAAGGCCTATCCTAGGGGATTGTATAAACATACTAGGAGAACTTATATTTAAAAGTTTGAATGTAGGTGAATGTCTATAGTATAATATAGTACAAGAAAGAAACAAATGTGTAGTGACGTACTGTAACAGGAAAAGACTGAAGGAAAATTGTGGAAATGAGGCAAACATAAGAAGAAGGAAAGACTATACAATAAAAAAAAGTGTGCAGTAAAGGAACAAAACTGAAACAACTAAGTGTATCTGATTAAGTCTGGCGATGCTACAAAACATATTACAATTGCATAATATAAAGGGGTTAGACAAATATCTGCAAATGATAAAAGAAAGGTTAAGTGATAAGCATATGAAAATTTAAAGTGGAATATTAGCTTTCAATTTGGGTTTAGGCTCAGACTAGACCTCTTTTTCTCTTTTATCTCGATCCCACTGGCAACTGATATATCGAAGTCAACCTACCAATATCAACTAGAGGCCACCAACGAATCACCCCTATGATCAAGCAGCCTTAGACCCTATCGTTTAAAGGATGTGTGAACGAAGTAGTATCTGAACTCCTCAATGTGTGGTGCACCAAATGTAGTATCTGAAATCATCAAAGTGTAGTGCACCTGTATATGAAATGTAGTATCTGTTGTGCAGGGCGTAGTGTGTGGTGTATAATGTGTTATAAATGTAGTATATGTCGTGTAGAGTGTTATGTGTAGTGTATGAAATATGTTGTATGGTATATAGAGTGTATATGTGAGTGTTATTAAGTGCACACATATTGATCCAGTGAAAAATGTCTGTGGTGTGTTATTTATCATTTTGTGGATGTAGTATCTATTCCTTTTGCAAGTATAATATTTGTGTAAAACTTGTAGTATCTATTCTTTTCTAAGTGTAGTATCCGTGCAAAAACTTGTGGTATCTATTCTTT